ACAACAACCATCTATACTCCCAATTACAGTGATGCCTTGATTTACGAACGTCCCGACTTACGACCATTTCGAGTTACGACCGGCTCCGGCTGCAAAATTTTGCTTCAACTTGCAGCTGGAGCTTCCAGTTACAAACAGAAAAAGGCACAGAAAAAAAGGCGGGGAATTCAAATTGCTAACCGTTGGTAAGCGAAGAGGCTGCTTCTTTGTAGTTCTTTCGCCCCAGCAGTTAGAGTGAGTGCAATTGGAGGAGGCTTCGAACTGCCTGGTAAGGTAAGGTGCTGCTTTCTGCTTTTTAAAAATTGTTCTTGGTGGGTTTTGCAGCGTGGTTTTGGGCTGGGTGGTGGGATTATGTTTCTATGCTGTGATGGGTTTGTTTTTTTGGGGGGGTTTCAACCATTTCCAATGGGTTTTGAGGGGGTTGTTTGCATTTTGGTTCCCCCCCCCCATTTTCGATGGGTCTTGAGGGGGTTGTTTGCTCCCCATTTTCGATGGGTCTTGAGGGGGTTATTTGCTTTTTTTCCCCCTCATTTCTGATGGGTCTTGGGGGGTTGTCTGCTTTTTGATCCCCCCATTTCTGATGGGTCTTGCGGGGTTCATTTGCTTTTTGGGTTTTCCCCCCATTTCCGATGGGTCTTGCAGGATTTGTTTGCTTTCTGCTTTGCTTTTTTTGCATTTCCGGTGAGTCTTGCACAGTTTGCTTTCTGCTTTGCTTTTCTTGACCTTCCCGATGGGTCTTGCATGGTTTGCTTGCTTTCCGCTTAGCTTTTTTTGCATTTCCGAAGGGTCTTGCACGGTTTGCCTGCTTTCTGCCCTTCTTTGTTTTTGCATTTTCTAAGGGTCTTGCACGGTATGTTTGCTTTTCTCCCCCCCCCCTTCGGCTGGAATGGATTAATCACTTTTCCAATGGGTCTTGCAGTGTTTTATTTTTTGTCTTTTTTGGTGATTTTTTTCTTTGGCTGGAACAGATTAACTGCATTTCAATTCATTCCTATGGGAAATGGTGCTTTGACTTCCAACCATTTCAAGTTATGACCAAAGTCCCGGAACCAATTAAGTTCGTAAGTCGAGGCACCACTCTAAGTCAGAAGAGATTTTCTAAGGTATTCTGGAGAAGTATTATTTCAACTTGCCAAAGTACTTGGGGAACTAGCAACAGGAAGTCCATTCATTTTTACTGGTAGTACATTGGCTAAGCACTAAATTTTAGCTCCTGTGAGGGATATGTATTCTGTTATTACATCTGGAGAGTAAAGATGGCCACCACTCAAAACAGTATGAATATATTCTTGCCCACAGAAAATGACTTTTGAAGATCTGCATTGTCAAGAAGCATGCACTAGCAGGCAAGTGAATGTCTTGTGTTGATATAAAATGCTGAAACTTTGGCAATACATTATAATTATAAATCAGGACAAAATGAAGATCTATTACCTGTTACTGTAATTATATTAATAAAATCACTGCTGACTGATGAAGACATATGATATTTATGCTTGAGGGATTAAAAAGGAAAACTCATTGATGGTCAAAATAGTTGAGTAATTGAGTTTTTGGTGGAGCATTTTTCCTGAAATATAATGTAAACTTTTTCTGAACTCTACCTGGTTAACCCTTATGCTCCTCTCCCCTTTGTCTGTCTTATTTCATTGTCAATTCTATTACTGATTTGTTTGTATTTTATCAGATACTCACCAAAATCCTGTTGCTTAGTTTAGTAATTCAAATTAGAATAGGCCTACTGAATCAATGGGGATTTAGTGAGTCAGCTCCTTTGTATGTTCCATTGGTTCAAATGGATGTACTGTAACTGCAGTTTACAGTGGGGTCTTGACTTGAGAACTTAATCCGCATTGGAAGGCGGTTCTCAAGTCAAAAAGTCTGTAGGTCAAGTCTCCATTGACCTACAGTGCATTGAAAACCGATTAATCCCGTAACAGGCCGTTTTTGTTCCATTTTGGTTTTTTTCTGGTCTGTAAGTCAATTCTCAGGCTGCAAGTCAAACCTAAATTTTGCGGCCAGAGAAGTCTGTAACTCAAAAAGTCTGTAAGTCAAGCCGTCTGTAAGTGAAGGGTCCACTGTACTGTGCTAAAGTATAGTCCCCCTACCAGCACAGTGAAGGGGGTGAACAGGAAGAAAAAGGTAGCACCATCTCTGCCATTACCACTGCCCTTTTATCCTCAGATAAAAGCAGGAGGAGAAGGAAGGTGCAGAAGAGACAACAGGATTGATGACAGAGAAAGGAATCACCAATAATAGCAGCAGTAACAATGACAGAACCCTCCACTCCCAGATAAGGAGGCAAAGACAGCACCTTCATCTATGTATAGTGCCAGCCACAGGTGGGAGGTATATACTGTGTTGCTGCACCCTCTCCTCTCCTAACATCTTAAGGGGGAGGTGGATTGCTACTGCTGCTGTTTCTACCGTTGTCATCTTCTGCTCTCCTCATCTCCTATATATCTTAGGACAGAAAGGTGGAAGTACTTCTGCCCCATTTGCTCCTGTAATGTTCCTTGTAGTTGTTTGTATTACTCACCTTTGCTTTATATGCCAAGAGCTAAGTTTCATTCAGCTACTTTAAAAGATCTCACAGACGAAGGGCCACTTTGCTGACAGATAGAGAATTAAGGGTCCACTAGACATTTTTCAATGTAAGAAAATAATAATTTAAGACTGCTACTTATCAAAAAGTATCTTTGTGTAATAGCGTTGAAAAAGACACATCTGCTGATGTATCTAAACATAGTGACTCAATCAAAAGATTCTAAAACAGGATGTCATATACACTGAAATAATACAATACACCAATGTACAGTGATTGTATTATGTATGTAGAAATCTTTTTACACCGGTGGATTTGAAAATCAGCATTGAAAATCCAGACCTGTAGACGTGCTTGGGGCAGTTTATTACATTTCTCCTATTCACTGTAAAAGACTCACCCAAATATAACACAAAAAAGTCATACAAGGGCCAATATCCTTTAGTGCATATAAATATCCTTTTACAGGCAACACAAGCAGAATGCAGACTTTCTCCTTTCCCATTCTAGCCTTCTGGGGTACCAAAAACCTGCTCCAAAGATTTTTCTAGCTTTCCAGGAAAGGTTTTTGAGATATAGTGAGGGGCATGCAGTCTGGGGTGTCACTGGTTCTGACACAACCAGCAGAATGCAGTAGAAGAAAACCACGGAAACTTGGCTATTACTGAAAATCAATCATTGCTATTTAAATTTATTTATTTCATTTTACATAGGGTATTGTCAGGAGAACATGTTCCAGATAAAGTGGAAACTGTGTCCTTTTATCATTTGGTTGACCATAAATTACAGTGGTGCCTCGGTTGACGATGTTAATTTGTTCCAGCGAAATTGCTGTAGAGTGAAAAAATCGCAAAGCGAAATAAAAAAGCCCATTGAAATGCATTGAAACCCGTTCAATGCATTCCAGTGGGCTGAAAACTCACCGTCCAGAGAAGATCCTCCATAGGGGCAGCCATTTTCAGGTGCCTGTTTTGCGAAAAATGGCTCCTAAAAACAGCGGGGAACCATTTTGTACACCCCACAGCCATTTTGAAACCCGACGATCAGCTGTTTATAGATCGTCATAATGCGAAAGTCGGTTCCCGAGGCAGGGAACCAATCACTGTGAAGCAGATTTTTCCCATTTAAACCATTATTTTGCAATCGTTTTTGCAATCACAAAACCTAATCGTCAAGCGATTTCTTCGTTAAGCAACACAATTGTTAAGCAAGGCACCACTGTAAATAGATGGCTTTTGTAAAGTGTCATGCAATACAAATACAATGCAGTGATGCCAAACATTTCTGATAAATATGGAAAAAGAAAAATCCAATTTATTTATTTTAAGTATTTTTCCCTAAATGTTTACTTTAAAATGCAGAAAGATATTTTGTTTTTGCTTTGCTGCTTTTTTGTCAATCCATACCTAGGACCTTCCAAACCTATGTTTTGAAATAAAATGAGCACTACGTGTAAATCACAATTACTGAACATGTGACATTGATCAATATAAGAGAAGAAGGTTATTATGACCTGCCCTGGGATATATTGGCTGAAATCCTATTATGTACTTATGGCAACAACTCAATTTGCAGAAATTTCAGTGATGAATTGCCAAAAGTAAAGAAGTCAGCATAGGCATTTCATTTTTGCACTCCCAAGTCACAAAACTTGGCATGCAACAATAAATGCCTATGCTGACTTGCAGTAATTTTCTCCTGAGATTCATGCTAACAATTTACGACAGCAGATATAGCTAACAGGATTCTGGATGTCTTACCTGATATCAATACAGTGGTGCCTCGCTAGACAGTTACCCCGCATGACAGTTTTTTCGCTAGACATTGACTTTTTGCGATCACTATAGTGATTCGCAAAACAGTGATTCCTATGGGGGAATTTCGCTGGACAATGTTTGGTCCCTGCTTTGCAAACCGTTTTTCGCTAGACGATTTTTACAGCTCCCTCTGTGCTCGCAAAACAGGTGTTTTCGGGACCTAAGCTTCTCAAGACAGCGATTTAAACAGCTGATTGGTGGTTCACAAAACAGCTTTCCTATGGCCGATCTTCACTAGACAACGACGATTCTTCCCCATTGGAACGCATTAAACAGGTTTCAATGCATTCCAATGGGGAAATGCTTTTCGCTAGACAATGATTTCGCTAAATAGCGAATTCAGTGGAACGGATTATCATTGTCTAGCGAGGCACTACTGTAAAACTGCTGAAAATATGCAGCAATGGCTTTTTGGTGGTGGTGGTGGGTGGCAAATAAAAAATTCATCTGATGACAACATTTACATTTAGATTACGATCAATAAGAAACATGAATGGGCACAATCTTTCCCAACAAAAAGAAATGTGTCATATTTATATCACTTTTGACATTTTTATATGAATAACAATGAACCATATGAGTCACACAAATGTGTGCATTATCATTCACAGATATTTCACATTCAGTCAACTACATACCTTTCTGTAATGTATAATCAGACCATAAAGTAAAATATTTTTCTTTTTTATTTCTTTTGCAAGTTTAGTCAAGCTCTGGTTTTCATTGCAAGAAGATGCACTATTTAAAATGTCCAAGTGTACCTACAAATAAAGGTAAGATAAAAATTCACAATTTTCAGAAATGGTTCAGCTGTCACAGAATAAAAGCAAAGGCAGCTAATTGCAATTTTAAATTGTTGTTTCAAATAAGACACATTTAAAATGTGTAATAAGTCTTCAGCCAATAGCACACATTTTGGCTTCTCTTTGCTAAGTGTGTCTTACATGTTACAGAGGCCACACTGATTTTTAAGAACAAAATCTCCTAGACTATGATTTATTTTAAAATCTGAGTACTGTAATAAATTAACCTACCGAGATGATGACAAGAGAATATAAAACAGAAGCATTTGTGTTTTCAAGTGTTTCCACTAGTTGACAAATTTCTTGGAAGTCAGATGATTTATCCTAAAGAAAAGCAGTGTTCACATTAGGAAGAATGCCCTTCAGATGCACAGTAGACTTATCCTAATTACACTATCACCTTTTGATTTTCTGCAAAGTCTGTGGCACAGTAACTACTAGTAACTGAAGTGAAACTGCCTGTGACTGAAACGAGGTATCATTCCCCTTTCCTTCCCTCCCTTCTTTGCCTTGACTTGAAGCCCCAATCTGTTATTATGATGTGCCCTCAAGTCAGAACTGACTTATAACAGCCCTAATAGGTAAGTGAGGTACATAAGGAGTGGTTTTATGTGATCCACCCCTCAGTGAGTTTCCACGGCGGAACCAGCAAATTGAATCCAGGTTTCCTGTATCCTAGTTCATTACTGTATCAATTCCAATTGGTTCCCCAATCTTGGGTGCTCAGCTATTCGTAGACTACAACTCCCAGAAATCCTGGCCAGCATAGCTAGTGGTGAAGGCTTCTGGAAGTTTTAGTTTACAAATATCTAGAGACCCAAGGTTGAGAACCATGACACTACATCACACTGGGTGCCCAAGTCCCTATATACTTGCACTTCATTTAATGCTATGCACAGTGATGTCTTAGATAAGTAAGCATATGCACAATTAAAGCAATATGGGTATACAGTTTACATCAGTGGTTCTTAACCTTTTTGAAAGAAACGCCCCCTTGAGCCATTGAGGAAGTTATCATCGCCCCCCTCCCCACGGTGATGATATCTTATTCATTCATTCATTCATTCATTCATTCATTCATTCATTCATTCCCCTGAAAACAAAATTAAATTCCAAGAAAATGAAATGCCCCCCAAAAAGTAACATTTAATGATTTAGTTGCAAGTGAATTTTAAGACGCAAAAAGAAATATAAAAAGGGCATAAAAACAAATGCAGGAACTAAAAATTTCAAGACAAAAAGTCTGAAACTAAATTAAAATTGGAGGAAAATATATATTCATGTACACTGTAAAAAGGCTGCAGCCATCTTCACAGGTTTGGCTTGCTCCAGCGCCCCCCTACCGCTCCCTTTTGCTCCAGCGCCCCCACGCCGCCCCTTTTCTTTTTACCGCCCCCCTGAAAAATGAAATCACCCCCTGGGGGGGCATTATCACCCACGTTAAGAACCACTGGTTTACATTATCTCCTGTGCTGTGTAGGGCCCACAAACCACATGACATGTACAGGTGGGGGGGGGGAAATGAAGTGTTGGCAACCAAGTTATCAGAAGAATGAACTCAATTTTCTCCCATATAGATCTCCACATACACTTGCCCAAACTCAAGATAAGCTCAGAAATCATTCTCACAAGTGTCTCCACTGAATTACGTAAGGCATAAGGCTGCTAAGAAGAATATTGTACGTTTTTAGTCATAGCACAGTTGTGGAACACTTTTCTCTGAGACTGTCACCCAGCTCTGGCTCTATGGCTTTTTCAGTGAAGAACATTTCATTTTCCAAGGCTTTTTTATATCTTAAATTTTCAAACACAGTATTTGAGGGTTTTTTGACCTTAGCACTGCAGATGAGTGTGCTTTTATTTTATTTGTAGCTCTTTAATTTTATCTTAACTTTTATTAAGTGTTCATATTTTATAGTCTTCAAGAATGTTTTGAGAATCCCCCCAGAAATTCCCTCCATGGGAGAGTCTGGAAAGAAATACGTAAACCTTTTGTAAGAAAGAAACATCTCTATGTAGTCAAAGAATAAAATAAAATTGTAGTAGAACCACAGAAACGATATATGAGGTCTGCCATGACAACAGAGCAGCTTTGTCAAAGAAATGTATCTTCAGAGCAAATAATGCAGTATTTTAATTGCAGTAAGGCTAGAATGTTATTTATACATTTATTTCAGTTATAACTACCTTCGCCCAAGCAAGTCAAGTTGCACACATATAATAAAAACTAGAACCATTAGCTAACCTGTGTAGGTAAAAATGTCTTTTCAAATATTGTGAGTTTATAAATATAGTAGATCAGCCAGAACCTTTGGGCTTATAAACAGTAAGGATTTTGTGTGTACAGTGTTATTCTCTGTGGGACAGCTTTATTTAAAATGCATGCAAAAGAAATGAGTTTGTGAACCTCTCATGGTAAAGACAATGGAATTAAATGGCTAGAATCCTATTAGTTGCACTTGACAACGTAATCAGTGGCAAATTGCTACAAGTTAAAAAGTCAGTATAGGCATTTGCTGTTGTGTACCAAGTTGTATGATAGCAATAACAGGGAAAAACCTTTGTATTGCATGCATCTAGCTGAAAAATGTTTTGACATTTCTACATAATCAATAATCCAAGTATTAAATTGACAGAATTAATGTCCAGATGTAAACACATAGCTCAATTCTACTAATACCTGCAAGGGGGGGGTTCATAGTGGACTTTTGACCCATTCAACAAAGCTTGTAAGTCAGTATAGGCATTTGCTGTTGTGTACCAAGTTGTATGATAGCAATAACAGGGAAAAACCTTTGTATTGCATGCATCTAGCTGAAAAATGTTTTGACATTTCTACATAATCAATAATCCAAGTATTAAATTGACAGAATTAATGTCCAGATGTAAACACATAGCTCAATTCTACTAATACCTGCAAGGGGGGGGTTCATAGTGGACTTTTGACCCATTCAACAAAGCTTGTTTTCAGAGGGATGGCATATCTAAGTGACATTCAATGAATCTTATCTTAGAAATGCAGAACTGGATGGGACCCTATGGATCACTGAATCCAGGCCCCGTCAAAGAGTCACAGTAGAAAACTGAACTCCCAACTTCTGGCTCTGCAACCAGTTACTTAAACATATGGTCCCCAACCTTTTCGACACTGTGGGGGGATACGGGGTGCGTGTGCGGGAGTACGGGGCACCCCTGCACTCACATGCATGGGCAAAGGGGTGATGCTCACTTGCACGGGCACTCTCACAAAGGGTGGGGTGCTCGAGCAGTGCATGCACACACTTGCGCTCATGCGCAAAGGGGCTGTGCACTTGGACATGCAGGGGGGAGTGTGTGCAAATCAACATTCTACAATTAGCCAAATACCTAGCAACCCTCCTAGAGACCCACATTGGACAAACCTCATCCTACATCAAAGACTCAGGACATTTCATAAGCAAGATCAGCACCCTAAAACTCAACCCTGGGGACAGACTGATCAGCTTTGATATAGTATCCTTGTTCAGTAAGATACCGATAAAGGACACCCTGACATCCAGCAGATCTTCCCAGAAGACATCAAGGCCCTTTTACAGCACTGCCTAATGACTAGCTATTTTCAGTGGGACAACGAGTTCTATGAACAGATAGATGGAGTGGCCATGGGGAGCCCCCTCAGCCCAGTTATAGCCAACTTCTACATGGAACATTTCAAAAAATAGGCCCTGGCTTCGACACCCTTCACATCCGCAGTCTGGTTCCGATATGTGGATGACACCTTTGCAATCTGGAACCACGGTGTAAAAAAATTGGAAGAATTTCTATAACATCTCAACAGCATCCACCCAAATATACAATTCACCATGGAAAAAGAAACAGAGGGCCAACTCCTGTTCTTAGATGTCATGGTTGTACGCAAAACTGACCTCCTATTGGGTCACAAGGTCTATAGAAAACCCACCCACACAGACTGGTACCTACACACCACCCACAGCAAAAAAGAGGCATAATCAAAACACAGGTAGGCCGTGCAAATTGGAACTGTGAAGCTCAATTTCTCAGCACCAAACTCAACCATCTGAATTGGGCCCTAAAGGCAAATGTCTACTCCAAAAATGAAATCACAAGAGCCATCAAACCAAGAAAACAACACCAAACTGAAGAGGATAAACAGACACCCACAAATAAAGTATTTCTGCCATACATCAAAGGGGTCATGGACCGCATGGGGAAACTTTTGAAAAAACGCAATCTACAAACAGTATTCAAGCCCACCACAAAAATACAACAAATGTTAAGGTCAGCAAAGGACAGAAGGGACCCCCTCACCGCTGTAGGAGTATACCAGATACCTTGCAGTTGTGGCCAGGTATCTATTGGGACCACAAAACACAGCATCCACACCAGAATCAAAGAACATGAGAGGCATTGCAGACTAAAACAACTGGAAGAATCAGCAGTAGCTGAACATGCCCTGAAACAAGCTGGACATGAAATCCTATTTCAAAACACAGAAGTACTAGACAACACCAGCAATCGTTATGTTAGACTACACAGGGAAGCCACTGAAATCCACAAACATCAGCACAGCTTCAACAAAAAAAGAAGAAAGTCTAAATCTTAACAAAGCCTGGCTCCCAGCACTGAGAAAAATACAGCCTGCAAAAAGGTCAGTGAACTCTACCTAACCACAAGGACTGATGATCACTGCACATCTCCCCCCCTTATCACTACACCCATAACAAAAAAACACCATGATCACCATAATCACCCAATCTCCTGAAAAGTACAAAAAGCTGATCCTGCAGTTACAAATGCTGTACTCAACTATCCCACACACTACACCAGAACACAGACAGAGTTCTAACTCCTGTCCTCTGAAGATGCTGGCCACAGAGACTGGTGAAATTTTAGGAAGCAAAACCTCCAGAACATGGCCAAAGAGCCTGAAAAACATACAACAACCATCTATTATATACATTGGCAATGAATAGTTATGACCAGCTACAAGTTTTCTTATTTCAGTACTGCCCATCTAGTGATGTCCATGTGTAGAATTGCCTCTTGTGTTGTTGGAAAAGAGAGTTTGTGATGACCAGCTTGTTCTCTTGACAAAACTCTATTAGCCTTTGCCCTGCTTTGTTTTGAACTCCAAGGCCAAACTTACCTGTTGTTCCTTTTATCTCTTGACTCCCTACTTTAGCATTCCATTCCCCTATGATGAGAAGAACATCTTTCTTTGGCCTCAATTCTAGAAGGTGTTTTAAGTCTTCGTAGATTTGGTCAATTTCAGCCTCTTCAACATTGGTGGCTGGTGCATAAACTTGGATTAGTGTGATGTTGAAAGGTCTGTCTTGGATTCATATTGAAATCATTCTAT